TCATCAGTCATGTGATTGGACGCTGCAGCCGATCGGACTGATGAGATATTTTTCAACATGTGAAGACGGATCACAGATTAAACTGTGATATATATATATATATATATATATAGAGAGAGAGAGAGAGAGAGAGAGAGAGAGAGAGAGAGAGAGAGAGAGAGAGAGAGAGAGAGAGACGAAACACTTTTTACATCATTTATCATCATTTCATTCAGTCACGTGAGGCTGTTCATTCCTGATTGTCGGGTTGATGAGTTTTATCATTTAAGAGCAACAATAATCATATTCTGGGTTATTTAATAATGACGCCATAATCTGAATTTCAAAACGTACAGACGCAAATAATTCATAAATAAGACGATCGCATTCTGCTGGTAGAAATGGATCCTGTGCTTATAAACAGAACACGGGACACAGTTTGTTAACAGACTACAGAGAGAAACACCTCTACAGTGGTGATCACTGTGTCTTTATTAGTTATTAGTATTATTAGTTACTGTTATTAAGTACAGTGATCATGTGAACACACACAAACTTATCAAAAGTCTCTCCAGCTGTTAAAGCCGACTGACAGCTGATCAGCTGTGATCATCAGCACCGTCATCAGAAAAAGACGTCGCTTCACGTGACGCAACTGAGGAAAGGACGTCTCATGTCTCTTTAAACATATTTCCTCATTTCCTCTCTCCTCACATGGTTTCCTCCATGCATCCCTGGTGGGAGGGACTAAGACACAAGGAAAGGACCCAAGTGAGGGAAACGGGGATGCAATTAAGAGACTTGAGAAGTACCCCAATGCGTTGTGAATCACATCACGTGATGCAGCTCAGCCAATCAAATATGGGCATTCTGACAAGTTTCCTGACTTGAGTGAGATGTACACACACCGTGACACAGGGGGAGAGACGAGGATATAGAGAGCAGAGCAGGACTGTTGAGGTGTGAGTTGTAAAAGTCAAATCATAGGATGATTTCCAAAAGAGAAAAATGTCCAGAGAGACCAGAGTCATTAGACTCTGACTGGACAGACTCATAGAGGTGAATTCTTCCAACACTCATTTCTCTTTTTGGAAGATGAGATAAATATAATATTATGGCTTTTTCACTTCACCCTGAATGAACTGAGTTTAAAGCTGCAGCGCAATTCAGTGAAAATAACTTTTCTAAAATGAATTCTGTTACGTAATTTATTTTTTAATCCAGCCATTATTTTACTTGAAATGAGAAGAACATTTATTCATGTATTTCTATTTATTATTTATAATCCATCCAGTTATATTTGAAAAATGAGAATAATATTTGTTAAAATATAATTGATGTGTACTTTCTTTATTTGATTTGACAGTTGTTTACTACGCAGATACGTTACTACTACTAGACTTCTTGAATATAGATATACCCAAATTATATATATATATGTAATTTTGTTCGTGGGTCGCGGCTTGTCATTAAGGAGTGATGGTGGGTCCCGCAGCCAGACCAGTTGAGAACCACTGCATTATGGGATAGTTTGTTTCTACATAAATTACATTGTGTCATCATTATCATACCTTTTCTATATCCTAAGAGTCACTAAGAAAATCAAACATCAGTGACCGTCAGTGTAGTTTTTACTATGCAAACCTTCAGAGGACTTCGGCCACCACTGAGAACACTGAGGTCATGTGGTCGGTATTTTAGAATTACGCATAAAGTTAATCACATTCCCTCATTTCATATTCAATTTCATTTTTTAAAACAACAAAAGACAAAGACAGGATTTTGAAAACAATTTCAAAAGACAGCTTTGTTCCTGAGAGGGGTTTTAAAAGAAAATATAGTTATTTGTTAATCTATTTACTTTTGATTTTTATTTGACCTCACAAACAAACACGTACTAAATAAGTATGAGTTCTGCATCACGACAACGTAAAATGTTTAACAAAAGTTCTTCCCAAAACGACCTCTAAAGGTTCAGTGTGTAGGATCTGGCGGGTCTAGTGGTGAGTTTGTGGATTGCAACCACCTGAAACTTGTCCCGTGAGCCAAACGTGTAGAAAACGACGGTTTGGTTTGTCCCTTCTGGGCTTCTGTAGCAACATAACGGACTCCATAAAGAGCTCCTGCTCCGTAACTAGATACAAACGGCTCATGGTAAGCTTACGAAAACCACAACAATTCTAATTTTCTGGTGATTATACACCAAAGGAAACAGATGTATTAATATTATAAATTTCTGCCAATAGATGCTACACACTGCTCCCTTAATCAGTGGATTCACTGGAGGAGGTTTTGTATTTGCAGCTAAAACCTTTGAGCATGTTCAGTATCTCCGTATGTTTCCATGATGCATGCAGATCTGAGTGAATGAGACCCTGCTGCTGTGATTTCATGGAGTCTGAGTCTGTATATATTCCTATTTTTTACTCTGCTGTACAGCAACACATCTGAAAAACACTGATGTCAATTTGTGATAAAAGAGAAATGTTTGTTTTTGTCGTTGCGCCACAGCTTTTATCTTTGTTGTCTTTCGCCTCCAGGTTTTATTTAACGCACATGTTGCCTGAAGTTATTGTTCTCTTCTTAATGTAACCAGGGTTAAAGCACTGTGTGGGCTGGATTTTACTGATTTCAGGGAGATTCAAGGATGTTTCGGTAAGATTTAAATATCGGACATTGTACTGTATTTAATATAATTATTATATCAACAATAAGTCCCATAAAACAGAATTAATAAAAGCTCTTCACCCATAAAATCAAGCAGGATGTAAACTGTTAGCTCCATCTTAGTTTTCACTTATATTTAATGAGTTAACAATATCAGTGAGTTTATGTCCAGACAACACAGAAATATTGAGTAGTCTGAACTCAAACTACAGAGTGAACAGTTAGCTCTTTAAAAGAGAGAAATGACACTGTTGTTTTAATGTTTTAAGAGTTAGCAATCACCGCAAACGTTTGCTAACACAATGTTAAGTCTGATTATTGATTAGCTAGCTTTATCTGCATGCGTCAGCTAGTTATAAATGTAGCATTGACCGCCTTGAGCAACAAAAAAAACGAATTAATCGTCTGAAATCCCCAGTTACACTTTAAAGCACATCACATCAATATATGTACGACTTTAATCAGGATCATTGTACATTCAGAGACGAGCAGCAGCTTTTCCCATCAGTCTGGGAAATTTATAACGTTAGCATTAGCTCAGTGGCTAACAGACTGATTGAGAGCTGACGTGACTCACAAGCACTTTGTCATTATGACCATAAGTAGACACCCACAGAGCAGTCGTCACTAAATGTAAGTCCACTTTTATATGTAATTATCAAAATAATTTAAACATAATTTAATAGGTGTAGCTGCATCGCTAAATGTGAGCTAAACGAAATACAATCTTATTGATTGAGACAGCTGAGTAGGGAGTTCAACATTTGGGGAATACTCTTATTGTTCAGATGGATATCAACATCTAATATCTGTTAAGTTCAGAGCTGGAGTCAGGACTTTGCTAGCTTAGCTTAGCGCTTGTTCCAGAACTCCCTCTAATTATATTTGTGTGCAGACTAAACAAGTGTGACTCATATAAATTAGTGACATGTTAGTTGTATGTGTATTTTTAACCTCACACAGAGCTAGGCTACCTGTTTCCCCTCTGCTTCCAGTCTTTATGCTATGCTAGGCTAACGTAACAATCCTCTTCTCAGCAATAAAGTCAACGAGTATTTCCTAAAAAATCTTTTAACAATTCCTTAAACTTCCTAAGACACCAAAGTCTGTTAATATTTGGATGCAGTCTTCTGCTAAAGTCATAAAAGATATTTTCTATCTAGTGTGCACAGGTTATTAATCTATACGAGATATAAATAATATGAATATTTCAGGACTTCAGGGTGATTTATCTGAGTGATCTGTAGGTCTGAAGCCATCGGGACAAATGGGGCAACTCAAAAAAAGCCTACTTGTCTTTTCTTTGGGATGAAAATGGTTGAATTGAAAGATGTTGTAACACCTGAACCTTCTTCTTCTGGTGGATTAAATGGATTTTATTGACATGGACTCATCTCGTGGACGTATTCTAGTCCTCAAGCTGGATTTAAAGTTTGTTTTCAGAGTAAAAAGCACATTTCAGCTTTGAAGCGTCAAACATTCGCGGACGGCTGAAATAAATTCAGCATCGATGCAAAAAGGTTTTAACGACGGATGTCTCATCTTCTAGAGCTGGAACTTAATCTTCAACTTGATTAAAAGCTGATTTCTTTCTTTCTTTAACTTAATTTTGGAGTGAAAATGCAAA